GGTCAAATTCAGGACAGGGGACATAGGCCTTCGAGAACGTCGACGAAGACATAGGACGGTAGACGAGGAAGACGACGAGTTCAAATGTGATTGCGGCTTCGAATGCGAAGACCGTGTTCATGTAGTCGCGGAATGTCCGTTGTACAAGAAGGAGAGGGAAGTGTACGTGACTGAGCTGGGAAAAATAGATGGAACGTACAGGGAGATGTTTGAGGCATGGAATAGAGAGGAAAGGACGGTAGCTGTAGTGGGGCATAGGAGGTGGGTTGAAAAGGCGGGAAGGGATATCGTTAGGATAGACAGACTAGGGAAGACATTTTTGAGCCACCTTTGGCAAAGTAGAAAGGAACGATTGGCCATCGGTGATCGGTCCTGTGGGAACGATGCTCCGTCCTCTCGAGGACGCGTGGTCAATGGTTTACCCGCTAAGGCATGCAAAACATAAGAGCACGCCCCCCCCACCCCCCCCCTCCCCCCCTCGGTGTTGGCCATCGGGGTTGGGTTTTCGTCGCGCAGCGACATTGTAAAACAGGCCAATTCACTTCGTGAGCTCGGCAACCAGGCTACCGCTTGAATTTTTCCTTTTTTTTTTTCTCGCGGTAACCACAATGGTGGTCGAGTAGATCATGTTGTGCGGGGTCGAGAACCCTCACTCCGCGCAGGGGGGATGATCTCACCACGTTGTGTTAAAATGACCAAGCACCCTCCAGGCAGTTACACAGTGCGTACAATTGTCTCTGGAAGTCAAAGCACCAGAAAATACAATAAGTCATACGCAGCTGTCATCCGTACGCAAGGAAGTAAGCACAAGATGCCGAACACCCTTAGCAGGATGCAGCGCACCCTCCATGCGACTCGCCGAATACCTCACGGCGCTTCGCGCTTGGTGATGAAAGAGGCTGGTCCGGTGAGAACCCGGCGTGCTCCGTTCCGGCTTTGTAGGGATGCGAGGTCAATGGCCTAACGACTTCGGCATGCAAGACTTTGAGTACACCCCGCCCCGCTGTTTCAGCGACTCGGCGTATTTGTATTCGTTGACAAACGTCAGAGAGACACCATTGTTAGGGGGTATGAGGAGCTACGATGAGGATAGTTTCTTGAGAAATTGCACTGCTTGATTCTTGTATAGTAGCCAAAACGACGATTTCTTATTCCCTGCGGACGGAGGATTATTGGGCAGTATCGGGTGTAATCAGAGTCAACCCGACACCCTCCACGAGACGCTATCACACAAAAAGCCATCTCCATCCATCCGTCTTGGCCAAAGCCGTTGTTTGGCGGGAATTCCACACGGCGCCCACGGCTTCATATTGGCGTGGGGCTGATGGGGTCTCCCACACTTTCTACAGTTTTCCCAAGCGACCCATGGGACTCCCATGGGAAGCCCATGGGCGGCCAATGAGAGCCCATCAACCGAACCAGGATATTATCTGCGTTCGAACGGGCAATATAGGGGTAAATAACCCTAACCCTAACGATAACCCTAAGCCTTACCCCAAGCCCTCACGATACGTGCTCGGTTGGTGCTGGTGGCGAAGTAAGTTGATGTTCAGGTGGTAAAGTTCTAGGGTGAGATGCCGGTGGCGAAGTTCTAGGTTGAAGAGCCCATGGGCGGCCGTGGGTGACCCGTGGGTGTCCCATGGACGGTTTGGCTAAACGGTCAGTAACGTGGGACATTGCCATGTGGGTTTTGTATCGGCGTCGACGAGACACTTTTCGGTGAACCCACCCTCCATCATAGTATGAATATTCGTACAAGAATATGCTTGGGGACATACATGCCCCGTCCGCTGCACGTATACCCCAAGGGTTTGGGCGTGCACCCTTCCTTCACGAGGGCCGAGGTTTGACCCCAAGCATCCTCGCTTCCGTTCTCTCCTTTTCTTGAATTATGTAAGGGGAGTACCCTCACGCTAGGGGAGTACCCTCACGCTTTCACGGCTATTGTTTTTCCTAGGCCGTCTGTGTCGTGGGGATCACGGGAACGCATATTTTGTTGTGCATTAGTGACTGTAACCAAACGTTTTGGCCAATCATAAGAGGATGCTGGCCAAACCGTATTTCCCTGTAATTTTGCCCACGATGGGCGGCGCACGGGTGTGCCCAACATGCTCACCGTGGTGGGCTGCCCACGATCGGCTGCACATGTTGGGGTGCCCATGGCCAGACCATGGCCAGCCCATGCCGGGCATTGTAGGCTTGCCCGTGGGCATGACCATAGGCGGCCCGTCGTGGGCAAAAATGCAGCCCATGGAGCGCCCACCATGAGCAGCCCGTGGGCTGTCCATGGGCTGTTCATGGACGGATACGCCATGGATGTCCACGGACGTCCGTGGACGTCCTTGGACGTGTCCGTGGACGGCCCTGGACGTGTCTGTGGACGTCCGTGGACATCCTTGGACGTCCACGGACGTCCACGGACGTGTCCATAAAATGGTCAAATAATGTACATAATCCGGATGAGATGTGTTTACGCCAACGCTTGATGATGTTTGATACGAAAGCACATTCCACGTGGAGTGGAAGATTCCGGAGTAACATACCCTGTGCAGTTCCTTGACTGAGAGCTCCAGCCCAGGGTGCTCTATCATCATCCTGCCCCCGTCCCTCAGCCCCGTGAAAAGAACTGACATATCCTGTTTGCTAGTTTGGTCCGAACTTCGATGTAGCTAGCTGCTGCCCTCCCAGGCCGCGCGACCCTCCGAGGCAGGCTGCGTGTTAGGCACTGTGTATTCCTCAATGCGTGGTGGCCCGTGGGTTCAGTGGACACGCGTCCATCAGCCTCTTCTTTGCTGCAGGAGCAGTGAGGCAGCAAAATGAGAACTCCGTGAGACCTTCTATCTCTTGGTGGGACCCCAGAAAACCGAACCCAGACATCCGAAGCAACACACCTCCAGGGCACACCAAGCAAATAGTCTATGTACATACATCCCCAGCCGGTATACCCAATCAAGGCGGATGGACTCAGACCACAACATGGTGATAGCCACCGTCAACCTCGGTGACAGGCTTGCCCACAACCGAGCAGTCCGGACTAAACCGAAACAGAAGAAGTTCCACCGACGGGAACTGCAGGTGGAAGCAACGCGATGGGCGGTGACTGCGCGGTTCCTCCTGAACCTCGACCAACGGCAGGGCGAACGAGCGACCACCTCCCCTGAGAAGGCGACCGAGTTCACCAATGCTTTCCTCGAAGCGGCGAGGGCGATACTAGCTGAGGAACCGCGGATACGACGCACGCAGGAATGGTGTGAGACCCCTGAGACAAGAGCAGCATTGGAGGAGGCCCTCACCAAACGGCGGGAAGCGCGTCGAGCGATGAAGTACAACGTGAACACAATGTCGTGGAGGGCCATCAAAGCAGCGTATAAGGGAGTGGCCGCAGCAGTCGAAAGGGGCATATATATGCCCACCTGGACAGATATGTGACGGAACTCGAAGCGATCTACAAGGACCGCGATATGAGAGGCCTCTACCAACACCTCAAGAGATCAGTGGGGCTCAGTGGGAGACAAGCGAGAAGACAGCAGCCCGTTGCGGACGAGTATGGCGTGCTGCTCCGGAGAAAGAACTACATCTCCCAGCGATGGGCGAGATTCTTCGGCACCCTCCTCAACACCAAGTCCCCCACCCTGAACCCAGACATCATCGAACAAGTGACGCAGCGACCGGCGACACGTGCCACTCGACGGTTGGGGNTCCTGAACCTCGACCAACGGCAGGGCGAACGAGCGACCACCTCCCCTGAGAAGGCGACCGAGTTCACCAATGCTTTCCTCGAAGCGGCGAGGGCGATACTAGCTGAGGAACCGCGGATACGACGCACGCAGGAATGGTGTGAGACCCCTGAGACAAGAGCAGCATTGGAGGAGGCCCTCACCAAACGGCGGGAAGCGCGTCGAGCGATGAAGTACAACGTGAACACAATGTCGTGGAGGGCCATCAAAGCAGCGTATAAGGGAGTGGCCGCAGCAGTCGAAAGGGGCATATATATGCCCACCTGGACAGATATGTGACGGAACTCGAAGCGATCTACAAGGACCGCGATATGAGAGGCCTCTACCAACACCTCAAGAGATCAGTGGGGCTCAGTGGGAGACAAGCGAGAAGACAGCAGCCCGTTGCGGACGAGTATGGCGTGCTGCTCCGGAGAAAGAACTACATCTCCCAGCGATGGGCGAGATTCTTCGGCACCCTCCTCAACACCAAGTCCCCCACCCTGAACCCAGACATCATCGAACAAGTGACGCAGCGACCGGCGACACGTGCCACTCGACGGTTGGGGGCGGTGCCAGACCTCGAGGAAGTGGAACGGGCAACGAAAGGACTGCAGAACTTGAAGGCACCCGGCAATGACTACCTCCCTGCAGCTTTGCTCAAGATCGACGTCGACGACAAGGAACCCATCGTCCCGAAGCACCTCCGTGCCATCCTCGGTGAGGTGTGGAACGGAGGAGAGATCCCTTAAGAGTGGAAGGACGCAACCATCAAGGTGTTGTACGAGAAGGGTGACCGGTCCAACTGCAACAATTTCAGGGGGATCTCGCTCCGATCTCACGTAGGCAAGGTCCCCATCAAGATCATCACCAACCGCCTAAGCGCCTTCTGCGAAACCAACAACATCCTCCCAGAGCAACAATGCGGGTTCCGACCTGGGCGATCCACCATCGACATGCTGTTTGTCGTACGCCGACTGCAAGAGTTTGGGCAGAGAAGGAAAATACCACTCTACATGTGCTTCGTCGACAAGAAGGCGCATGATTCGGTGAACCGAGAGCTGCTGTGGAAGGTGCTGGCTAGGGCCGGGATTCGAGGAGATGATCGCCGTCATCCGCCAATGCCACGACGGAATGCGAGCTCGGGTGCGCATGGACGACGGTGAGTTTTCGGGCTGGTTTTGCGTCACACAAGGCCTACGACAAGGAAGGGGGGGTGCTGTCCCCACTGCTGTTCAACATCTTTTTCGCCGCGGTCATCGAGGCCGTTGCCATTCGATTCAGCGAGGATGGTGTTGTTCTGCAGAACCTCATGTACGGGAGCGAAGGGCGAAGACAACACTTGACCGAGTGCGGAGGGTGGTATGGCCGGTGCTGTATGTCGATGACGCCGGCGTCGTATCGAGGTCTGCCGAAGGGCTGGCGAGAATGATGACCGTCATCATGGAGGTGTTCGGGGAGTTTGGGCTGACGGTATCGGAGAAGCAGACGGAGACGCGCTCCTGATGCGCGCAACGGAGAAGCAGACAACAACACCACCGCCCCCCCCGCCACCACCGCTGATCATCGAGGCAGCAGGGCAGAGGTATGCCCAGACGACTGAATTCCGGTACCTAGGTGGCCTCGTCAACGAACATGGCGACCTCACCCGGGAGATCAGTTACTGGAGCAGAGCATCGTGGGCATGCGTCAGGAGACATGGTCAGGAGCTCTTCGACAGGCTGAAAGCACCGTTCCGACTGAAGACTCGCCTGCTCCAGGCCGAGGCGATGGAGGCACTGCTGTACGGCTGCATGACATGGGCCCCACGTCAAGACCAATACCGGACGTTGCGGACGATACACCACCGACTGCTCCTGCGAGTTATCGGTCACCAACGCAAGAAGGACACCTAACGGCAGCTTTCCTACGCCCAGACCCTGAAGAGGGTAGGGTGCCAGAGCGTGGAAACCAATATTCGGCAACGGCACCTGCTGTTGGCGGGAGTGCTGGCAAGGCAGCCAAACGGACGACTCCCGAAACGGGTGATGCTTGTTGAACTGGGGTGGGGGGATATTGAAAATCACTCACCCACAGAAAGCAACAAAGAGTTATAGCCTGCCTAGCGCGCTCCTTCTCCCCTGCTTTGTGTTACGCCAGGGTCGAGGTCTGCCTCTCCACCCACCCTCGTCCTACGATGATTTCCTGAGTTTCGTTTTGCTAGAGAAGTTCAGACTTTTTCGGTGCGGGAGGCGACCACGTCCGACGAAACTGCGCTATTAGAATCTCGAAAGCGTTCAGTGGACCCTTTTGCCACCCAAGGCGAAGCGGCAGTGGCAGTGCACACAACTCATGTCATCCGGTTGATGTTCAAAAAGAACAGTGGGATTGGGAATTATTCGGCAGAGGTTAGCTATTGTGCGTAGGTTTCCCGCCTAGCCTACATATCTCAGCTCTTTTCGACACTTCTCTGTGCGCTTGAGGACAGCATGTCCATTTCCGCCATTCCCCTTGCGATTCTGCGGCGAAGGGAAGACGCTCCACCAGGTGACGGGTCGTGCTCCTCCTCTAGACCTCGATTGATTTTTCTCGTTATACCCGTCACGCCGACGTCGGTCGTTGACTGCACGACAACGAAGGCTGCAGCATCATCTATGGATGACAGCGGAGGAAGGAATCAAGAGCGACAGCGGACAACTGTTGTATAAGATGACGACGTGCGCGAGACCATCGCATTCCAAGAGGAAATGGTAAAGCAAAAGAAACACAGAGGCTCTCGGACAGGGCAAGCCGACAAAGTTGGAGATGGGAAATAAGTGCAGTTTGTCACTGTACCATAAACGACAAGGAGACCGAAACGACCGTTCTTCAGAGCTGGACAGAACCGACCAACGTCAGGAAACCCTCCACTTCCTAAACAACCGTGGACGGCAAAGTTTACTGGGCACCTCACAGCGCCAAGGAATGGTCATACACAACCAAAGGACGAGAACACAACAGTAGAACTGCCAACAGAATTCTTATGCAACGGTGGCCAATGCCAGTATCCATGGCGTTGTTCCAGGGTGCACAAGGCCGCCAGGGCTCTTTGACAAGCCAAAAGCCACCTGCCCGGTCCTATGAACCGAGCAGGAGCAGCGGCAACAGCGCCACGACTGAAACATGTACGGTTCACGCCTCACCGTCGAACGCCGCCGATACGTTCCAGGCTTCGAACTGCTCCGAGAACCAGACCGAGGTTTCCCCGAGAAGCGTCGTGGGGCCCGTGGTGTGGAAGATGTCGAAGACGCCCCAGTGGTCGAGCGCGGTGCGGTACAACGTGTACTCCGACCACCTGCTGGCGTTGGTTCGATGGATAATTTGAATTTTGTCAGTACTGAGAAGCGAAACAGCAAAACATTGGACATAATCCATCTGGGGGGAGTTTTCGTTTGAAAACGTCTGGATTGAGGGCATCGAGTTAGGTATACGTCAACGAAAGAGTCGTGAGGGGGTCTATCGACTCCCCCAAGTTGTTCGAGCGGTCACGATGAATTCTGTCACCTTTCCTACGATCTAATTCGACATGTGTTAATATACAAAGCAACTTCTCGTTCCTCGCTATGCAAGAGTCTGTGGTCCCTTAACCATCCCCCACACCCTGAATCAAATCTTTGTCGTTGGTCCTGTGCTGTATGTGGACGTACCACCCAATGGGGGGCAGTCGATATTCTGTTCTTGAAAAGCATGAACTTACGCGCCAACAATCCCCAACCATCGGATCGAGTCAACGCAACGACTCCGAATCGACACGAGTGATTCTCCTACAATGAATAGGGGTGCTGCAAGCATTCCTTGGGTTAAGAGAGACAGAGTTGTGAAGCTCGTCATCGATACTTTCTCAACCACCGGCGCCTACTCGCCCCCAATCCCAAGCCCACGAAAAACACCTCCAACACCGGCGTTTATTTGCGCGAGAAACGACAGAGACTTTTCAACTCCAGCTCTCACCACCTGCCGGGCTCAACCCACCACCCGTCTAGGATCGTTCGGAGGAAGCCTTCCTCCCCGTGTACCGCCCGCAATCGTTCCAACGCAAGGGTAGCCCCCCTGGTGCTCAGCACCGCCGGGGTCACCCCGAACCCCTCGCTGGTGGGATTCTCCACGACGCCCAAGGTCTTGGCTGCCTCTGACCACCACGCGGGGTGGACGTTCCTCCTTTCGAAGGAGGGCATGCCAATTCCCATCGGTCAATAACCGCGCGAAGGGTTGAATGTTTAGATGACGGGGTTCGGGAAAGATGCCCTCGGAGATGCTTTTGAAGGAGGAGGCACTGTGAGCAAGGATGTTACTGAAACGTTTCAATCCTGGTGCTGAAGAGAGCACGCAACGTGCTGTTACCATGTTTGGTTGTGGAGAGACTACATGCGATAGAACTCAGCCACCAAGTAGTATTCTTATTCTGTGCCCAAACCGATGTAGCATACATGTGCGTTGCATTGAATACTACTGGAAGGTTAGATGATGGTCGATGATACTCCACTCCCCTGTGGATGCACACGTCACCGTGAAAGATTGGCAGAAAACACAATGTTGCGGGGGGGGGTTCGCAACCAAAGATTGCTCTTTTCTTTGTGTGGTGCCATCTAACGGCAACGCATGTGGGTTTTCACCCTCCCGGTCGGCCCAGGGAACAACAACGCATACTTGTAAATGTTTTCTTGATCAACAACATCTCGGCACAAAGAGCCGTGGAACTTTGAATATGACCATGCGTTATTCGAAGGAAACCTCTACTATTTCTAACCTCGGTGGTATTCTTGCCGTGTAACGTTCAGAAGTTCACATGAGTTCATGGGTCCACTCTATTCAAGAAGCCGCTGAAGGAAGCTAGCAATCTGGAGAAAATCAAGTAAGCCAACAAGCGAAACATTGTCTTCTTGGGCAACGCCCGGCACTTGCTTCGCGCATACGTACCCTTCCGGAACGTAGTTCCCCTTGCCTTGCGGTAGCAGGTCTTCCTCCGTGAGCTGGTCCTTGGAGCACAAGACGTCTGCGTCCAGCGTTAGGTAGAACGGTGTTTGCTGCGGAAAGGAAAGTAATTGCAACACAAACGGAATGCGAGAAAACTAATTACTGCATAACTTCACTCCCAATGGCTTCACATGAGTGATTTGCAAAACAAGCGGAGAATCGCAGAACCCTGGACGTCAAACAACCAGGCAAAGTTTTTTTGCGGTGTAGTATTATTGTGATTTGCCTTGGGTTCGCACATTTATTTTCCATTGGGACGCAGAAATTTCAGCGAACATTCCGTCGATACAGCACGCAGCAGCAGGAGAAGCACCAGAGAACTTGGACCACATTGACACCGCACGGACGCTCCCGAGGAACGCTTTGTTTTTTCATCCACGGTGGGAACCCTCGGGCAACGCGGATAGTCACGACAAGCGACAGGCTGCACAGGGCATGCATCCAGCCGCTTGACGAGAAAAGAAACTCTGACCCCATTCCCCTCGTTCTTCATCCAATAAAACTCGACTTCTTTGGTATGCATCCGAATTATATCATTTCAACCACCGCCATGTAGAAGTGATTGAAAAAGATGCAGTCTCACGAACTTGAGTACAAGAATTCACCGTGTTGACGTCATTGGGGGTGGATTTAACACCACCACCATGGCGTACTCGTCCATATCGAAGATTGTAGCGTGTGCTGCATACAGTTAACGTCCGCACTTAGGAACTTCTCATTCTGGCCGAGGCTCGTTACATTTTTTCTATATTGGGGGAACCGAATAGCAACTATCTAGGTACATGCGCTTACGGTCAACATATAGTGATCATCTTGTTTTTGACCTGAACTTCTTAACTCCCAGATTCTTAAGCGCGAGCGCTAACTGTACGTCACCCCACACGGAGCAGCCCGGCGCACGTGGTTTCAGCGTATCGTATGCGTACCATCGCAAGCAGTAGAAATTATTCGAATCGCTCATTGGCTACAAGATGAAGCGTTGTGTCACCACGAGCGAGGAGGCCAGGAGCTTGAGGGCCATCTGGACGGAGTACGTGTGCCACCGCGATTCGACCTTGTTCACCCCCGCATTTGAGAGCAGCTGTATTTCGTCCACCATGGTTAACTTCAGATTCCCGGAGTCCTTGGCGCAAAAGGCAGACCCTTCAGTGCGTGCGAGGGAGAGCAAGGAGGTACAGTAGGGTGCGAAGGGAGTATTATTTGTTGTACTTGAGACGAGGACCGCTTGCGAGCGTCTGCTGCGAAAAATTTTTGTTTGGTTCCAAAGCAAGTAAGCACACGAACGATAGAGATGGACGATCGGTTGACTGCAGAACAGGCTGCAAGTAGTCTACAAGCCAATATCTCCAAGAACGAACCAAGTCGGTTATTGATACGGTGAAAGTCGCTAGCAACCTGGCGAGGGATACTGCCTACCTCGGGTCGAACACGATCACCACCGTCGGAAAAGCGGCGTCTACGAAGTGACCCGAGGCAACCCCGAAAGCGTCTCTAGGCTGCACAGTACTCATTTCCCCTCCTCCTGTCCTCGGGCGAAGGTAAAAGGGACAGCCAGCGACTGGAGCCAGCAGCGTCAAGCATCATCTTCGCTGGAACTTTTAGTGAAAGTGTCGAAGGACACATGCCGTAGGACGGTCCTGACCGCGCCCTGTGGACTTCTCACCCATTCTGCCGATGCCGACGCTGTTGCAGATGGTTGCCTCGATTTGAGCAAGCTCAGCGCCAGGCACGACCACGAAAAAGTCTCGAAACAGAGCCATCGCACCGCAGGCTTGTAGTGTAGTTATCAAGAGCGTCGCAAGGCGAGCATCCTTGAGGGTCAAAACAAGGACGGCCGAGACTCTGCTGTTCCGCGCCGTTTGCGACGTAAGCGGCGGCGTAGCTCCTGAATCCGATGGCGTTGTTGACGAGGGTACTGCTGCTTCTGTCGCAGCAGTGTTTCCGGCGTCGTCTGATGCACGATTGCGGACACGAACGGTAGCAGTCGCATCTGTGACGACGATGCCCGATGGGAGCACAGCAGTAGGGCCGGCCAAACGCTTGCTGCTGGTGTGGCTCTCACAAGAGCGTTTGACAGATGAGAATGGTTCGTCTTTCACGGTTAGGACACCGTGTTCATCAGCAGCAGCCGGTGACTGTGCCTGTCGGCTAGACACGCTATCGCGCTCATTTCGGCAGCTGCTCGCCGCGTCGACAACCGTGGTATGGGCAGCGAACGGGATGATGAGTACGAGAAGGACAACCACAAGGAGGTCCCGACAACTTGGATTGTGTAACTCTTCCCCGAAGGTGCCCGCCCGTCCTCTCATCGCGTCATGCTTCGGGTCTCGCAATGTGTCCCCGACAGGCGTACATTTGCATCGTCGATACCGCCGCATGATCGGCAACAGTTTGTCCCGCTCGTACTCTTGCCTGCTGATGCTGCTGCTGCCGCTGCTGCTTGTTGTGTACGTACAGTAGTCTGGTTGGTTTCTTGGTCGCTCTTCAATGTACGGCTCTGGCACATATACCTCTGGGGGCGGATTGAGAGTAGTAGTGCAGCCGCCAACAGCGCGTCTTCCGTTGGCTGCAAGGTGGGAGGAAGCTAGCGGCAACAGTGGCAAGGCAAACACAGCTTTCGCATGGAGCAGGTTTGGTTCGTCGGGGGAGCGTAGACGGGGTGTTCTAAAAGATACGGTGGAGGCATTTCAGACAAAACGGGGTGTGAGGGTTCCAATTGTATGAAGGTCCGCCGCGGCAAGGAGGTGGTGGAGACTCTCTCCTCTCTACCCTCTCTCTCTCTACCCTACCGACAGAGCAACACCATTTTTCCCAGTTCTCTCATGCTTCGAAGTTGTCATTTTTTCTGCGTACGCGGGGGGTATGCTCAATGTAACGTCTACTACTTTAAGCATTAGTCTACCCGCAGAGGAATTCTGCGGGTCGGTCCCAGTGTGATGTGAACGTATAGATAGATAACACGCGGGGCCTATAGCAATCATCGTACACACCCCATCCAGCAGTCAGTGCATTTTCCCTTCGAAAAGAGGTGGTTGGTGATGATACAGTGGGGGGCCCTCAATAACGCCGGTCGGTATGCATATTTATGTGCCCAGCACCTCGACCGAGGCTGTACAGAGCGACCGGCGCTATTGGAACGAAACCCTCAATATCACCGGTTGTGGCGCTATTGAAGGATTGTGCTCATGTGGCACAGCGATTGCGCTTTACGGAGTCAACATATTAGACTAGTCTATCAAATAAAAAAGGAAACGATTGAGTGGTGAATGAGGTAGTCTAGGCGGACTGCAAAGGATAAAATTATAGTCTAGTAGTTGCAAATAACGAAAAACATCAGCAAAGAAAGGAAAACAGATAGATGTGGAAGAGAAACAAACGTGCAACAGCACTATTTCGCCCTTTCATTCATGTAGCGAGGAAGAACAAGAAATGACCACGAAAGAAGCGCCACATGCAGATAATCAGACGCAAAACCACCTAGCTAGCCGGGTAGAGACAGGACGGATCAAACGCCAGAACAAAAAAACAACAAAAACACATAATAAGGGTGCCATAACAGAACACACACACCCGACAAACCGAGTTCCCCTAAATCTTCCGTCTACCACTTCCCAACATAACATACACATAGATACACAAGATGGCTACCAAACTGCCTTGTTGATTGAGCCTGTTACCCACAGGGGAGATATCGTTGTATGCTGTCTGGGAAACCGTAGACATACAGGTAGCCTATCGCTCACGCTATGGATTCATTGCTAATCTACCTTAGACTATTTCTATAGATAGAGATAGATGGATGTATTTGTTGTGTCATATTAAAAAGAAAAAAAAAAAACAGCTTTGACTATTATCTACACCCTCGCGTTATCTCCCCTTCTCGTTCCGCTTCAAAAACTTCCGCCGCAACAAATTCCCTCAAGTCTGTCTGGCGCCTTTGCTTGGCAGCATGCCCTGCGATCATCGCCATCCTGGCTTTTTAGACAGTGTCTGCGTTCCCACACCCCTTCGCAGCCCGCTCCAGGACGACGAAGTGAGACGACACAGTTCAGCACAGGCTGGTGGGGCACCCCTAACGCGCTCCGTGCTCTCGTCGTCGTCATCTCCCCCGTTCTCTTCTTTCTCCAAATCGCCATCCAAGTGGGTCCCAGCTAGCCGTGCAGTGACTTCCTCTGCAGCATCCTCTCGCATCGCATCTAGCACGTCATCCTCATCCTCCGAGGTTCCCCAACCCAAATCGCGTCCACATGGCTTCCTCGCCAGCAGCCTCTCCCAGTGTAACGTCTCTTCGTATTTGTCCTTAACTTGGAAGGGGAAGACGTTTTATCTCTTGTATTAGACACGCAAGGGGAGTAGGGAGAAGTGAAGCAGGAAATCCTCTTCAGGAGTGCGGCGCCCGGAAATCTGCCCTCGAGGGCAGGAGGGGACCGGCCTGCCCTCAAAACGCCTCCGGAACTAGCCTTCACAGAACCAGTTTTTGAATTGATCTGCTGCTTATGGCTGANCTGTGGTAAAAGCTGGAGCTGGCAGGGCGGTGCTATCGCCAAATCCTCCTCCGCTTTTACCAGCGGCGGAGTCGTCGCCAACGTCTATGCCCAACACGTCCTCTTCCCCCAGACCATAAGTCTCTGCATGTCCGCGCAGTCCTGTCGCGCGCGAGGTGAAATCCAACGCACTGCAGCTGCTGCTGCTCCCAGTTTCATCTCTTGCGGTAGGAACGGCCGAGAGAGCAGAGCTCTGCGAAGTGTGAGCATGTGCAGCATCCATGTCACGGCTGGTGGTCTACACCAAAGTCCTAACCATTACATTTCTAACAGTGTCATATTTCACTGGTGGTGAACAAGCGCCATGCATATGCGTGCTCATGCCCCCGCGTGTGCCTTTCAGTGTACGAGACAGCGGAAAGGGCAATGAGCGCCCCGAACCAGCCTGCGAGAGGATACGGGGCCGAGAGGGCTAATTCCAGCCGAAACGAAGTACTTTTTCGAGCCGGCTGTTGATAG